TAGGAACCTCCAGGACATCTTTAAATGTTCCAACATCCAAATTATAGGGGTACCAGAGGGGGAAGAGTAAGAACAACAAGTGGAAAAGTTATTTGAACAAATAATGAAGGAGAACTTTCCCAGTCTGACAAAGGAAATAGACTTCCAGGAAGTCCAGGAAGCTCAGAGAGTCCCAAAGAAGTTGGACCTAAGAAGGAACATACCAAGGCACATCATAATTATATGACCTAAGATTAAAATGAAGGAGAGAATCCTAGAAGCAGCAAGAGATAAGGAGACAGTTACCTACAAAGGAGTTCCCATCAGACTGTCAGCTGATTTCTCAAAAGAGACCTTGCGGGCAAGAAGGGGCTAGAAAGAAGTATTCCAAGTCATGAAAAGCAAGCTACATCCAAGATTGCTCTATCTAGCAAAGCTATCACTTAGAATGGAAGGGCAAATAAAGTGCTTCTCAGATAAGGTCAAGTTAAAGGAGTTCATCACCAAGCCCTTATTATATGAAATGTTAAGGGAACTTACCGAAGAAAAAGAAGATAAAAAACATGTATAGTAAAATGACAGCAAACTCACAACTATTAACAACCATAACTAAAACAAAAACAAACTAGGCAAACAATTAGAACAGGAACAGAATCACAGAAATGGAGATCATGTGGAGGCATAGCAACAGGGGAGTGGGAGGAGGGGAGAGGGGGAAAGGTACAGAGAAGAAGTAGCATAGATGGTAGGTGGAAAATAGACAGGGGGAGGGCAAGAATAGAATGGGAAATGTAGAAGCTAAAGGACTTGTGACACATGGACATGAACTAAATGGGGAAAATGTGGGTGGGAGAGGGTGTGCAGGGTGGAGGGGAATGAAGGGGGGTAAATGGGACAACTGTAATAGCATAATCAATAAAATATATTAAAAAAATCAGTCTCATCCCCTACTCAGTCTTTTAGGAAGTCAGGTCTGATGCCAACTAACTTATTTATTCTTATTTGTTTTTTCAGCTTAGTCACTAATTGTGGCTTCCACTGCTGCAACCATGTTCCCCAGTGTCGGGAACTCTTCATATTGCCCGGTTCTTAAAAGCCTTTTGGTGCCCTGTTCTGTTCGTATAAGCCTTCACTTACTTTCCCACTCCTGACTGAGTGCAATTCCAAGAAAATATTGTCTTTCCTCCTTTCTATTTTTTTAGCATTATTGACTTTTTAAGAAATAGCCAGCTATTTCTCCAGCATAATTTGTTCACTTGAGAACAACAAAGAATTGCAATTTGGGACCCATGGTTAATGGTGAGCTATGTGCAAATTTAGAGAAACAAAGAAGAGGAACACTTTTGTATGGACTCAGAAGGGACTGTTGTAAAGGAAGAATTCATTGGAGGATATCAGGTGTTCAAAGTACAGTGACTTCTCATTGGCTGAGTTTTGGCGGCCTCCCATTGGTGGAGCTGTTACTGGGCAGGGAGAAAACTTTTCCTTCTTCACTTCCTGTTGGAGATGCAAGTGCATCTCTTTCTGTTGGTGTTAGCATTGAGTGACATGCATGAGAAGTCTCCCTTCTAGCCTCATGTCTCCATTTCAATGAGATTCTGTTTATTTATTTTCACAGTATTATAACAAAGATGAAAGGACTGGAAAATGTAAAATTTGATGAAGTGACGGGGAAGCTGTATAGTTCAAAGGAAATTCCTAGTTGTGTTTGGAAAACCTGTTTCCAGAGGCAGTGGGACACTGCTGTGTTCTGGTGAAAGGAGGATGGCAGGATGTTGCATATTTGATGCTGCACAGGGCACGTACTGGGAGAGGCTGAGACTAGAAGAGAATGTGGGACCCCAGGTGTTTTCTGCTCTGACTCGGCATTTCAGGAGATATTATAGTTGCATAGCAATGGTGTACTGCATAGAACAGGGGTATCAAACTAATTTTCACCAGGAGCCACATCAGTCTTGCAGTTGCCTTCAAAGGGCCGAATGTTTCTGTAGTTATAAACATAACTACTCTTTAACTGGGGGCAAGGAGCTCAGTCCTGCTGCCAGGTAGAAATAAGGTGCCTGGTGGATAAAACAAGGTGGAGGGCCAGATGCGGCCTGCAAGCCTTGTGTTTGCCACCTGCGGCATAGAAGAACATTGCTCTCATGAATTTCAACATCTGTCCTCCTTGGAAGCATTCTGGCCTGGCCACAGGGAACCTTTCCCAAAAGAAACCAGACTTATTTTCCTGCTTTCTTCGATTTTCAGGATGAAGTGGCATGCTCTCTTGGACACAAACCTCAGGCCTGGTACTGGAAGGTAGCCAGAGCATATGGCCACAAATTTAACTGTTTGGGAAGTGTTTTAAAATGCTGGACCATTTATGGTACTAACCTGAGGTTCTTAGATACCTAAAGCAGTGGTTCTTAGACTTTTTGATTTCAGGGCCCCTTTGTGTTAAAAGTTACTGAGGATACCTGAGAGTGTTTGTTTATGTGGGCCACATCTATCAATATCTACCATATTGACTATAAACGCAGAGAAAAGCTTAAAACACAAGAATGCACGAACACACAAGCAATGAACTGTCTGGATGAGGGAGTCATTACCTGTCATGTAGCCTCTGGACAACTTGAGAGAGAAGAAGAGTGAAAAGCAACTAATCTTTTAGAATTACTATAAAAATAACTTTGACATGGCGAAGCCCCTGTGAGAGTCTTGGGAAGCTTAGGGATTCTCACATCACACTGTACCCTTAGTGGTCTATGAATAGAATTCAGGAGATCTGTGATCTCAGATGGGGAAAAATTATATCTTATTTTCAATAATTTCCTGTAGAAATTGATTATTTCCTTTCATTTCTAATGTGTGAACAACCAACAGCAGTATCAGGAGTGCCTATGATGTTGTTACCAATAGAAATTACAGATATGTTCATAGCGGCAAATTATTACAGATATTTTAAAATATCATTTATGCTCATATTATTTTGAAATTATGGCAGGCCTGCTGCTAGATGTTGTAATACTAACCCATATCATTATTTTATCATTTAAAATTACTTTCATAACTATATTTTAATATAATCAATTTTCTAGACAACCCTATGTATTTTATGCATTTAAAAACAACATTTTGAGAAGAGGGTGGTGGTGCACAAAAGGTTAAGAACTCTTTTGAATTTCAAAGACCTTAGAAGTCCTCCAGTGAGCTGATCTCTTGGAAGTGGGAAACATTTGCCACACACTGATTGGCATCCTGGTAATCCACTGAGATCCTGAAAGGTCAGCAAGGAAGTGTGCTGTAGTTGGGTAAATGTGTTGACAGGCAGTGTGTAGCTGAAACTCTATTCTTGATGATTCTAATGCAGCCTTCAGAATTGGATTCCCTAGCAGGTTTAAAGAGTAATCCACCTTCTATTTTCTTAAAGAGTTAGAAATAGCCTAGTGTCTTCAAAAGCTTGTTCTACTTGGCCTGGAATTATGAGACCTTGCCTGAAATGCTTTGCAACCAACTCTGAATTGTCAAAACATATCAGTGAGTGAGTGATGCTAAAAATGATTCTAAATTAAATAAATAACCCAAACTAAGAAATGGATCAATAAAGTTGAGGTTGTTCTTTTCACTTGTTGAAATAAGCTATTTGGCATTTTTCAGGGTAGTTTGAGAGTCAGAAGTGGAAAGTGATTCTAAAGGGCCATTGCTCTGGCCTTTGGGTCATGTGATTCATCTTTATGATTCTTGGATAGTCTCTGAAAAGTAAGCCCTTCAGTGGATGCATATAACTGTGGATAGTACCAAACCCTATATATTATGTTTTTTTCTAGACGTACATACATATCTATGATGAAGTTTAATTTATAAATTAGACACAGAAAGAGATTAACAACAACAATAATAAAGTAGAGCAATTATAATAATACACCATAATGAAAGTTATGGAATGGCTTTGGGACCTTTAAGAAATAAAGTAAGGGTGATTTGAACACAAGCACTGTGATGCTCTGACAGTCTGAGATGGATATTAACTGGCTAATAGGGGAAGATAGCATGAGGTGTGATTATGCTACTCAGAACGGGGTCCAGTTTAAAACCTACAAATTATTTATTTCTGGAACTTTTAATATTTTTGGACTGTGGCTAAATGTAGGTACCTGAAACCATGACAAGGGAAACCATGAATATATGGGCTTGCTATATTCTATAATAACTAGAAATTTGGGAATATGTTAATTAATTAATTAAAATTTACTGTACATGTACTATGAACCAAATATTTACATTAGATACTGAGGATATAACAGAGGATGTAGTTAGTCCCTGTCCTCAAGGAGTCTATAGTCTAGTTTTTAACCAGCAAATTAAGATTTTTATAGAACCCACTTTCTAGAGATAAAATATTAGAAATTCTATTAATATTGTCATTTCACACTCACATAGCATCAACAGGGTCACTCTTGGTATTAATTGGAACCTAAAAAGAGTAGTCCCTGAACATCTTTCTATAATGCGCTTTCATTCCTAACCAAACTTTACCAAGGGCCTAATAAACTTTATCAAGTGCTTCGTACATATGAGGAACAGTGCTAGACCCTGGGCCACAGGTTCCTGACCCTGAAGAGATTCTCGGGGCAAAAAGATAAAAATAATTACTGTGATAAGGGCTGTAATAGAGTACATACAAAGTACTCTGTGTGTATAGAGGAAGGCACACGTGACCCAGTCTGATGCTGATAGCTGGAGGAGGTCAGGGAATGCTTTGTGGATGAGCTGGCACAATGACCTAGACCCTGAGGGTTGGGTAGTAATTCGTAAGGTAGAGGAGTATAAGAATGCCAGTATGATCATGATTTGGGATTTGGTCTGGTGAATCAGGCCATTTCAAATTTCAAATATGTGGACTGGGGAGATATCTTTTCAATGCTTTGTTATAATAGTGAATATGTTAATAATGAGATAGTTGGGGGGTTTGTTTTTGCTTTTGATGTAGCATTTCATTTGTAACTTCAGTGTTTGTGTATGTGTTTGTATGTGCACTTTAGAAAAAACACCAAGGTTAATGCCTGATAAAGGAAGCATGTATTATCCACGAGTACAACACTACCGAGAACTGCTCGACTCCTTGCCAATGGATGCTTATACCCATGGCTGCATTTTACATCCTGAGCTAACTGTGGATTCCATGATCCCAGCTTATGCAACAACAAGGATTCGCAGTATGTAAACCTCTTAATGGCCTGGGGTTCTCTCTTGAGATACTTTTAATTCATTTTGAGATATAGTGTATCTCATGATCATTCAGAGGAGACAGGAACAGTGTCGCTGAGTTTGCTCTATGGACGTCACGCACAATCAGATTAATCTGTGCTTCAGCTGCTATTCAGCTGTACATTTATTGTCTATAGTTCCTGATTTTCTAGCTCTTGACTGTGAGGGCCAAATTTGGACAAAACCCAAGTTTGGCCTGTGGAAAAGTAAAGACCACAACATGTTCTCATGGACAGATAGACTGGGAATTAGGAAGGCTGTGATCTGTGGGGAATGTAGGCAACTGAGCTTACATTTCTGGTCCTTGCCTTTTGTTCATTATGTGAGGGAGCTGAACTACAGGTTGTCTAACCTTTACTCTGCCTCTGTATTTAGTGATTGCAGAATTACAGAGCTTGAGTTGACATATCCACCTCTCTCCTGACCGGTCCTGAGGTCCTGAGGATGGACTAGGGTTGGTACCTGAGGAGCACAGCAGGAGGACTGGTGTTCCGTGGCACAATAATTGGGGACAGGAAGGTTGAGGATGGTGGCTGGTCAAACTCTGGGAGTGTCTGACTAGGAATACTCACATCTACATCTTCTAAATCTAGAAATTACATTCTTTTCAAAAAACCATGCCTTACTGTTATCATTCTCTTTTGTTATTTTTCTTGCTTTTCGATACTGCTCCTCCTTGCTCTTCTCCTCTTTTCCTTCCCTTCTTCCTCTACTCTCTTTTCCCCCTCTTTCTTCCTTCTTTTCACCTTTTTGTTCCTCGTCCTTCTCTACATAAATTCTTATGTAGGATTTGAAATAAATATTCTGATACATATAATTCTATAACCTAGAGTTTATATACTTTTTAAAAATGTGGCTTTTCCCTTCTCCCCATGTAAAAGTTCCTTACAGAAAACTTGAAAGATATTGAAAAGTAGAACCAGTACCCTGCACCGAGCACTTACGATGTGCTGGCCTTGCCCTAGGTGCTTTCCACGGTGCTTCCCATCGCACCCTCACCCTGGGTGGCAGATACTCCAGTAGCTTCCATATCACAGGGTCCACAGAGAGCGCATGCCTGAGGCAGAGGCAGGGCATCTAGTTTCTCCATGTTTCTTACATAGAAGGTAAAATAATTTTCTCTTTCAAAAATGATCCCATTATCAGGCCAAATTGGTAACACAGAATCTGAACTGAAGAAACTTGCTGAAGAAAACCCAGATTTACAGGAGGCATACATTGCGAAACAGAAACGACTTAAAGTAAGTAAACCAGGCTGTCCTCAACCCACAACCACTATTCGTACTAAACGTTCTACCTTTTGTAAAGTGTCGCTGTTTTAGAACATCTGCTGTTAAATAGAAGTCACCAGTACACAGTTCACCTTTGGCTTGAATATGCTGCCTGTTAAGAATTTTTTTCTATTATGGTTGATATTCAAATCTAATGACAACTGCTTAAAAGGCAGAAATTGCACATGCTGGTTGCCAAGGAAAGTTGTAAAGTGTAAAAGCAAGTTAATTAAATATTTGAATAAATATTTAAATGAATAATGAAATATTCTGTCATTTTGGGTACTCTGCCACATTCTGGCCTAGGCTGACTTCTGTCTGTGGCTGTCTGCCTCCTAAGGGGCAGGGCTATGTACTGTGCCAGCTTCTCCCACAGTAAAGATGTGGCAGGTATCAACACCTCCACCTTCTCTTAACTTCCCGTCTTCCTTTATCTTCATTAGGGAGCTTCCCAGAAGAGACCAATCACCTGCACACAAGCACTTCTTACTTTCCACTCACTCTTTACTTCGCTGCATTCAGACTTCTCCCTTGCCCCTGAGCCCTCTATGATTCAATTTATTCCCTAGTGAAACCTGTTGAAATTCCATTCTTGAGTTGGGCCCCGGAGGAGTCTCTTTGTGCCCCTCATAGTCTTCACCCTCTCTGGTCATCTGGCCCCCCAAGGAGAGGTCAGTGAGTGGTGGGTCTGGCCCTGGGGTGTTTTCATTCGGGCACATTTCCCCCCAGTTTTGCTTTTACAAAGTTATTCTAATTCTTCTTGTTGTCTAGAACAAACACTGCAATAGTTTATATCTTTTTTGCTATAATCTATTGAGTTATTTTTGTTAATTAGTCCAAGCTGCTTGACCATGACAATGTCAAATATTTGAAGAAAATTCTTGATGAGTTGGAGAAAGTCTTGGATCAGGTTGAAACTGAGTTGCAAAGAAGAAATGAAGAAACCCCAGGTAGGTTCTCATTTGTGTTGTATCTTTTTCTTTTTTCCTGGAGTATTTATAGGAACAGCCTTATATTTCAATAAAATATTCTGTAATTGTCGTTTGCATTAGTTTAAATTAAAATAACAATGATGACATTGAATTCAGCAAAACCTAGGTCCATAGTTGCAAGTCAGTCTGTATCTCCATGAAATATGACTACTAAAGAATTTTTCTGCACAATTTAAATTATGGTTGAGAAATTCCAACCTAACCTATTTCACAAATTTGTAATTACAGTAGTTAACTTGGTTGAATAACCTGAGTAATTACTTGAATGCTACCTCTGATTTTCCTTAGGCAGGGAGACAACTTCTAATCTGTAGTCGAGTATAAAATGGGTGAACACATGGAGACGTGCAGGCTGGCTGGTGAGCACCCATGCACTGACCTATGAACCTGACTTCATGATGCAGCCAGGGCCCGGGTGCAAGCACATACCCACTTCCCCTTCTAATATTCCAATTGACAACGAAGTTAAAGACCATTGCTTCACAATAGGGATTCTGTTATGCTTTTAACAAGTAAGGGCAACACTCACTGAATGACATTTCAGGCACAACTTTATGGGTATTCCTAAAGCTCACCTGCTATTTGCCTAAACCAGAAGGAAATATCCATGAACTCCTTTGGCTTTGAGGCTCTCAGCTTCTGAGAATTGTTCACAAAATGATAGACAGGCTTCGAGCTCAAGTGACCCTGGTTTCACTTAGGGACTTAGGTGACTGGCAGATGTCCAGTCTCCCTTAGCTTGGGGTACATTTTCATGGACTTTGCTTTTAGCATAAAATTATTTGCTGAGGATGATTGTCGAGAAAATGTACCATGGCTTTCATCTCCTTCTATGCTCACACTTGCCCTCAAGACTGAGATGAAAGATACCAGTCAGTCTGTTTGTGCTGGGCTTGTCCTTAATTCTCTGTGTCCCTTTCTCTGATTAGAAGAGGGCCGCCAGCCTTGGCTCTGTGGAGAGTCCTTCACCCTGGCAGATGTCTCGCTCGCTGTCACATTGCATCGACTGAAGTTCCTGGGGTTTGCAAGGAGAAACTGGGGAAATGGAAAGCGACCCAACTTGGAAACATACTATGAGCGTGTCTTGAAGAGAAAAACATTTAACAAGGTTTTAGGGCATGTCAACAACATATTAATCTCTGCAGTGCTGCCGACAGCACTCCGGGTGGCCAAGAAAAGGGCCCCAAAAGTTCTTGGCACCACCCTTGTGGTTGGTTTGCTTGCAGGAATGGGATATTTTGCTTTTATGCTGTTCAGAAAGAGACTTGGAAGCATGATATTAGCACTCAGACCCAGACCAAATTATTTCTAGGCTTGTGGGGATCCAGTGGTGACAATTCACCCTACCATTTAACTTGACCTTGTCCACTCTGCCAGGCCCAGGGGAGAATGACCCTGGGCAACAGTTAAATGCTATTTTACTTTATTCTTTGGGTAATTTATGCAGGCAGAGGAGGCAATGAAATTTTTTTGTGGGCTGGTAGTGTTGAGATTACTGATTTTCCAAACTGAACTAATCTACCCTTAAAATACTCACAAGGTTAAGGTATATAAATGTGATTGGTTGAGAGTAGTCCTTGAACTCAAAATACCAGTTCAAGTTCTGAATTTTGTGGGGGCAGAGGTTATTATTACAAGCAGACAGTAATAATAACCTGAGATTGCCCATAGCTTTTTATCTGAGAGTCTCTAGATATGCTGAGTGTTGAGGAGTTAGCAGAATTTCTCCCAGATGTGATCTTTGTTACACAGCATGGGTTCAGACAGCAGCAGGGCACAGCAGTGCTTCATGCTAGCCCTGCTAGCTTCAGGCAGAAATAAGGGAGGAAGAGGGAAAGAGAAAGGATGAATAAAGTCTACACTGTATAGTGCAGAGCAGCAGAACGCAACTTTCAGGAGCCTCCAGAACTACTCAGGGCTGCCTGGCCCCTTACTAAGCATTACTGTGATGCCCTGTACCTATGGCCCACACATCCTCCTACAGCTGAGAACCTTGGGAAAACAAGACTAAGTAGTTACTAGGTGGAGTGGGCTGGAGAAAACCCCAGACTTTATATTCACATTTGACTTTAGAGTTAACTTTAAATGCATATGAATCACATGCATTGACTTAATAAGATTAACTGCTTATATATTCGGGTGACAGATGCCCACTGGAGCATATCTGCCTAGCATTTACGTGAAAACTTAAAGTGATATGAAAATGGTTCCTTTCCTTTCATGGTTCCCCAATTTGATGGTGCCTATGGACTGTTGTGTCCGGTCACTGGCGACTTGGCCTCTGCAGCCCCTTTTATGCATACAAGTGGCATTTGGTGAGTGTCCAGCTCATCACTGGCATGGTATGTGACTGGGTAGTGGACTTTGTTGATCTGGGAGCATTAAATACACACATTCTGCATTTGGAAGGCTGATGTGTTAACTGAAAAACTATTATCAAGGACTTGCATATGTTTATGATCATCAACAAAGCTTTAGAAGGTTACAGAGGAAAGGGAGGTTCTAGTCTTAGCCCTTGGCAGTTAATTTAGGGGAGACAAAATAAATGGTTAGACAGTGACATCCACCAGTATTCATTCATATATGTCTAGGCAATTTAGGGTGTGCCTCAGTCCACGTGGAAGGGATGATCACAGTGCATCCCATGAACAACCATGGAGCTGCATCATACAATTTGGCTCAGGAAAATCTTCATGGTGACAGGAAGACAGAGTTTTTCTAGAGCTGGGCAGAAAGGTCTTAGGAGTGACATCCAGTCTTTGGCAGAAAATATGTATAGAGAATAAGGAACTAAGTTTTCAGCGAACAATATAAGCTTGTCTGGACTGCCTCAGAATGGCTGGGAAAAATAGCCAAAGACTGGACTGAATTTTGATTAATAGGAATCAGTCATAAGTAGTAAACAATGATTTTTTTTTAGTTGGTCAAAAGATTCTATAATTTCATTTCATGATACAGTCATTTCAGAAAAGTTTGATGAACTGGATGTTCTCTGTTTATAAAAAAATTAAAAACATTTCTAGTGTAAATTCAATTCAACAGTCATTAATAGACTAGAAGCTTTTATAATGTCTTAATTTTGCACCTCAGTGCACTGTCGTATAGAATGAAATTTGTTGCTGGAACATTCTAATCCGTGTATTCATAAAAGATCCACAAAACTGATTATTCAGTAATTCATAATGTTATTTGTTACACTGTTAGAAGTAGAAACTCAGACATGAGGAAGTTAAAATTGGATATTTGTAAAAATCTGCAGAAGTTATTTACCTATGTAAGGGTTGTTCATTAAGAATAAAGATTAGAAATCCAGTGCAGGCTTTTCCTTAAATTTGTATCATTGCAGAATCAGAGAAAATGTTCTAAGAAGTGTCTATAATTTTTTGATATAGTTTCATTGGAAATATTCCTTTGTCAATATTAAAGATGATGCATCATGGCCCCTTCTAGGCTTGTTCTATGGCTACCCAGGAGATTATATTATACTTTTAAAATGTTTGTTTATGGGTATCGTGACCACTAGATGTCGCTGTTCATCCAGTAGTCTGAGTTGGGCGTTCTTAGGTTCAACAAGCTTTCCGAAATGTTTCAGCTGAAGATAAACATTAATGACCTCAATTTTGAAATGAGGACATCTTCATCAAATCATTCATCTGTAGAAAAGCTTGAGGCACATGTAGTATTGATTTATTCTGATGCTTTGGAAGGGATGACACTATCACACAAAGTCAAGCTAAAGAGCTAAACATATACTATTAGCAAAATAAGCACTTTTATGTATTTTCTTGGTGACTGGCTGATGTGTTCCTCAGTTTCTCAACTTTGTGTACTATCATAATTAGAAAAATTTCTGAGGCACTAAATTTATGTTGGCTATTTGTGTCTTAATGCATAAATATTATTTTATTGTCATAGCAATTATATGCCTTTGGAATCCATTTTTTCTTAATTGTAGATAGTTGTAAATTGCTTGCTTGATTTTTAGTAGTTATTGATATTGATACCAGAGTCGTAGATTTTTAGTGTTGTTGACTGTAACAGAGAGAACAAGATACTGTTCCGCCTGTGAGATCAATAAAAGTAATGGAAAAATAAATATGTACTCTGCAAGTATTAATTTTGTAATTCTTTTGAGAAAACAGATGTATTTGTTCCATTAAAAATCAAAGCATAATGTGGGTAGTAGTAAAAGAAGAAGGAGTTAGGTATTCAAGATATTTAGCTATAAAATGCCATATATTTCTTATAACAAAAAATTAGTGATTCATGATTTATTTAAATGCACATAATTTCATGGTGAAAATGAATGGCACCTTAAAGAAGTACATAGAGATCCTGATTATTCAGGAATCTCTTTTGCAGCCACCTAACAGGGGACAGCATGAAAATGACACACACTGAGAAAGTATTTTTTTCTGACTCATTTTGTTGCATGTTTACTGGGTTTTGAATATTACTCTTCTTAGGATATTTATGCCTATTTTGATTTAGCTAATTCTGTTTCTTCTATTTAGTTATGGATTATAAATATTCAAATTACTATCCATATTTCTAGGCTTGGTAAGCTTAGCCATTATTCTAATCATCAAGTAGAGACTGAGTACTGTTGATACTTTTGTTTTATATTGAGCAAAGCAAATTAAATGAAAATTAAGTTGACCTATTTTCCCTAAGTGAGCAAACAACAACAAAGGAACAGTTTCGAATACCCATGGAAAGTCAAGTGCATATGTAACTCTGTAGTATTTTCAGAAAAGAAAAAAGCACCACAGTTAAAGACACAAAAGTCAAATTAATGCAATGAATAATTTAGTATTTAGACATCACCTACATTTTGTTTATGCCAAATATTTGGCTTATTTTTATTTTCTCTACTATTTAAATTAGAATGTTTTAATTGTTTGATTCCTCAGAATAACTGTGTTTTACTTAGTAAGGTAGTGGATCCAAAGCCATGTGAGGAAGTATAACTTCTAGAGTGAGGATAATAACTTTAACTGTGTATGACATAATGAAAAAGAAGAGAGGGGGAGAGAAAGAGAAGTCTCGAATGGATGAGAAAGAACATGCCGATAAAAATAATACCCTGCATTGCTTGCTTCTGAGTTGAGTGCTGAGTGTGGACTTACGAGGAAGAAAAAACTGATTTCTGGGTGAGAAGGTACAGATGAGGTAGGGCAGGTGTTGAGGTACAAGAAGACAAGGCCGTGTGGAGCTTGAGAAGAAAACATGCTTATAATGGGCCTCAAAATATTCTGATTCAAGAAGGGCGGTGTATCTCATCCATAGTACCTTGTCATAAACTCCTTTGGGAAGGTTAGAAGTTTTGTATTTAGCCTTTCACTTTATTCATTGTTTATACATTGGCTTTGTGATAATAATTGTGCTATTGTTAAACTCAACTATTAGGAAAAAACCAGTAGTATGGGTGAAATTATAAGATGGTAATGAAATGTAATGCTAAAGGTCAGGTTTCCATACCAACAGCAATATTCACATTCACATGTATGAGTTAATTCCTAATCACATAGGTAATTTTTCATGCACATGACCAGTATATCTAACATTTTATGTCATCAGATTAAACTATCTTTTGAATTTAGAAAATCTGATATTAACAAAGTCACACAAACATTATCAAACATACATCATAATAAAAATATGATGGTGTACTTTCAGAGCTTCTGGAGTTATTAAGTTCAATGCTTAAAAGAAAGTAAAGGTTTACACGGAGAAAATAATATGAACTAAAAAATCCTCCCATCAGGTCCTTTGCCATTCTTTAAAATTGGATTATTTGTCTTCCTGGAGTGGAGCTGTGTGAGTTCTTTATAATTTTGGAGATCATACCCTTGTCTGAAGTATCACACTGGCAAATATATTTTCCTATACAGGGTGTTCACTTTTCATTTTGCTGATGTTTTCTTTAGCTTTGCAGTAGCTTTTTATTTTGATGAGAATAAACAACCCCATTTGTTTATTCTTTCCTTTATGTCCCTTGCTCTAGGAGAAAGATCAGTGAAAATATTGCTGCATGGAATATCTGGGATTATGGCCATCAGAAAGGTGCAAATTAAAACCACAATGAGATACAACTTCACACTGGTAAGGATGGCCATCATAAACCAATCAATAAACAACAAGTGCTGGTGAGGTTGTGGGGAAAAGGGAACCTAGTACATTCTTGGTGGGAATGCAAACTGCTACAGCCAATGTGGAAAACAGTATGGAGTTTTCTCAAGAAACTAAAAATGGAACTCCTTTTGACCCAGCAATTCCACTGGGATTATACCCTAAGAATCCCGAAACACGATTCAGAAGAACCTATGCACTCCAATTTCATAGCAGCACAATTTACAATAGCTAAGTGCTAGAGCCCATTAGTAAATAAGTGGATGAAAAACTGTGGTACATTTACACAATGGAATACTATACAGCAGAAAAAAGAAGGAGCTCCCACCCTTCAAGACAGCATAGATGTAACTAGAAAGCATTATGCTAAATGAAGTAAGCCAGGCATTGAAAGAGAAATACCATATGATCTGATCTATAAATGGAACCTAATCAGCAAAACAAAAAAGTGAGCAAAATAGGACCAGAGACATGGAAATAAAGAACAAACTGACCTTAACCTAAGAGAGCGGGGAGGGAGATAATGGGGGAAAGAAGGGAAAGGGTCGCCAAGGAACACATATGAAGGGCCCATGGACAAAGTCAATCATGGGAGGGACTGGGAATAGGAGGTGGGGGTGGGTATGGTGGAGGAAAATGTAGGTGGGAAATGGAGATAATTGTATTTGAGCAACAATTAAAAAAATGACAAAAACAAAACAAGACAAAAAAATTTGTCATACAGAAAGAAGAGGAATACAAAAATATTATTCAAATAAAAGATGTAAGAATAATGAAAATATTCTTATATATTATAAAGAATAATAATAGAAATATGCAATAACTTGCAGCTTCTCTGTAATAGCAAAGTGAAATTTGTCTCTCTGTCTCAGCTGTTGGGATGCCCCCTCTTTGGGTCCAACTCTGGTTTTTTCACAGTTCTGGGTTTTTTTGTCTCACTTGGTATTTCAAAAAAAAAAATAAAAGGAGACTAAGGAAGGAAGAAAAGATAAAATTGAAAAGAAAGGAAGAAGAAATAAAACAAGAAAGAAGGAAAAAGAAGCAAAATGAATTGAGAGATAAAACTAATAAAAACTAAAAACTAAAAAATTACTTTAAAAAAACAAACAAAAACAAACAAACAAACAAACAAACAAACAAAAATTCTTGCTGGTTTCAAACTGGCCCAACTGGTTTTTTTATTCTTGCTGGCTGGCTGCAGCAGGCTGAGGGGCAACTGGTGTGTTTTTATTCTGTCAGCCTTGTGAGCACTTTCCCCAGAGCTAGCCTGGTGCCCCTTTGCTTGGTCCTGGGTGCAGGCTCTGGGCCTGCTGAGGCCAGAGCACTTTCTCCAGGTCCATGGGTGTGGGCCCCAGGAATTACATAAAGCTCTCCTTCTCAGGGCTGCAGATGCATGTGCCCAGCCAGGCCACCTCCAGTTGCCTGGGATTGGACGCATACTCTTTCTATGTCTATGTGTGGGTGCTCACAGTCCTCATGTGTTTGCCATTTAATCCTTACTCTCCTCTCTGTGACTTCAAGCAACCATGTTTCTCCTGGTGCTGCTCAAACTTTGTTTGGCTGGGGAGGGAGGGAGCAGTTGACCTGGCTCTCTCCCAAGAGCCCTGTGGCCAGCCCCGCAGGCACCAGGCCTGGAGCTATAGCCTCCCTGGTCCCGGAGCTGATCCCTGGGCCCTTATTGTCCTTACACACTCTCCTTACGGTCTGTTTTTTCAATGTCCACTATAATTTTTGATCTCCTATTTTCATGTATGCTTTGGGACTGGTGGCTGTCTGCTCTGTTCCTCTGTGGATCGGTCAGGTTTTTTTCCTGTGTGTAGGGGGAAGTGGAATCTGCTTCCTCTTACCTAGCTGCCATCTTTCCTCTCCACATTCTTTATATTGATGGAGGAATGACTGAACACAAATCTACAGAAAGCAAATAAAAAAAAGAGTGCTAGAAAAAGCAATTAAGTAGGTGATATGAAAGGGTTTTTTTATCACTTCATAATTATTTTAGAAGGCTACTGACTTTTTAAAACAAGACAAAATAACAGCACTGCAGGGTGGACTTTATAATATATGTAGATGTAAATAGGTAACCAAAAAAGCATAAAAGTTGGGGGTGATGGATAAATGAAATTATACTGTCATGAGGCTATTAGATTTGTGGGGTATAAAGTATGAAGTGTAAAGGAAAATGTGTCAAATGCAAAGCAACAAGTGGGAAGTGTGAAATAGTACAATTTTAATTCTGAATAGACTCTGATAAGTTAAAGATGCATTCATAGCCCTGGGAGAACACTAAAATTAGTTTTAAAAAATAGCTGAGAAACTAATAAGGAGGATAAAAACATTGGCCCTGGCTCGTGTAGCTCAGTGGATTGAGCGTGGGCCTGCAAACCAAAGGATCATGGTTCGATTCCCAGTCAGGGCACATGCCTGGGTTGCAGGCCAGTTACCGGCAGGGGACTCACGAGAGGCAATCATACATTGATGTTTCTCTCCCTCTCTCCTTCCCTTCCCCTCTAAAGATAAATAAATAAAACTCTTTTTTAAAAAAGGATACAAATAAAATACCAATGAAAGGAGCAATAGAATAAAAATAAAGAAGGGACAAATGGAAAATAATGAACAAGGTGATGCACTTAAACACACCACAGCAAATTATATTGAATATAAATGACATTACAGAAAATGTTGCAGTTAAAAGTCAGGGATTGTTAGATTAGATAAAAATGTAAGGTACAGGTATGTGTGTCTATTAGTCATGCACTTTAGATTTGAAGACATGCAGAAATTGAACATATAATAATGGAAAGTGAGATACCAGGCAAATTGCATAAGAAAGCTACTGTGTCTATACTAATTTCAGAAAAAGTAGACTTTAAAGCAAAGCATTTTACAAAATATAAAGAGGGACATTTATAGATCACAAAACACCAATTCATTTGGAAGACAATC